TCCTCGACCCCCGACCTCGGAAGCCCCTCCTCGCTTTCCTACTCCTCGGCGATGGCGGCGCTGTCGCAGCAAGCCAACGGCGGGGGCGCGGGACGGCGTGGCCGCGGACGGCGAAGGTGCAGTCGCAGTACGCCAGCAACGGAATCGCGGGGCGGCGTGACCACGCACGGCGCCGCCGGCGCATCTGCGCGGCCGAGGCGGAGCGCTGGCAAGAAGGTGCTCGAGCTTTTGCTACTGCGGCTACAGAGACGAGAGCCTCTTCGTCTCTAGGCTGCAGATTTCTGCCGTGGTGCGCTGCTTGCACAGGGCTGGGTCTGGCCGCAGTGGCGGAGGCGGTGGTGTCCAGCGCATCTACGTCTGCGGCAGTGGCGACCGGGGCATCCGACCTTGGGTTGGCACCGCGCCCGTGCCCACGCAACAGCCCGCCGGCGCCGGTGCTTGCCGCCTCCGCAGGATTCATGTGCGGCTGATGCTGCTCGCCCTCGGCGGCGTCATCTCCCATTGACGGCGGCGTCGGCTGCTCAGTAAGGGAAGACGGGATGAAGAGGAAGAAGATGACACGTGGGGTCCGCACGTCAGTGAGGAGAGAGGGGCTGCTGTGGTCTCTATCCACTTGGAGCCAAGGGCATTTGAGTCCATACGAGAATACACATCATCATATACGTCTGCAACTGAGCCTAAGTCATCATCATATGTATTTTGTGACATTTCTGTGGGAAACTAAGAATTGTAACGGTACGCTTCCAAATAGACGAATAATACTAAGAATTATAACGGTACGTTTCCAAATAGACGAATAATAATGGTATTTTTTCAAGCTCCGAAAATTGCAATGGTACCCGATCAAAGAACCCTTTTTCTTTTGGTTTCCGTCTAAGCGTACGGACCCGATACGGGATGTGCAAGTCCAATTTATGCGTTGGAAATTGAAATGGTGTTCAAATTTCTTGCTCGTACGGTGAACGCTTATAATTTCACAGTTGATAATTGAGCACTGCCACACTGACGATATGAGGTTCTCAAACTGGAACTCGTATCTTCTGGCCTTCTGGGAAAACAGTACTATTGTCGTGGTTGTTCAATAGCAGGTACAACAGCTGGGTTTCGATAGAAGTGTTAAATGTACCAGAACAGTTTATAATGGGCCTTTAGATGCATATGGACCACTGGAAAATGATATATTAAACGTGAGCTTAGCTACCCTGGATTTGGTACCAAGTAACTTGATTTTGCTCTAATGGAGAAAAGAAAAATGGTGCGAGAAAGGATTAGCTGAAAATTATACTAGTCATAGGAAATGCTGTAATAGTAAAATAAGATATGTTCATCAGTGAAAATGGCAAAAGGCTATACCTAAATTTGTGAACATACACAAGCAATTTCTCTAATTTTGTAAAGAGAACAAGGAAATTTCAAACAGAAGTCAGCAATAATGATTATCTGTTTCTGCAGTGAGTAAATTCCAACTGAAAGCTATCAATGAGTGTCACTAAGGGGTAGTAATGTCTGTACTCATTAGACACCGAACATAAATCATGAGATTTATATGTGCATTAGACACCTAACATATATTAAATGTCTGTACGTATGATGCATGAGATTGCATACATTTCAGATCATAAAAAGTGGACCACTTTCGATTTGTACTTATTGTTTAAGGATTACGGAGTACTATGCATTACACACTGAAATTGATGCATGTCATTGCCACTCATTGCACAAATGTCTTGATGTCGTATTTCAGATCATGACAACTAGACCACGGTCTGATTTGTACATTAATCTTCCAGCGCTCCGGAAGCTGGATCATATGCTCCTTGTGAGTTTTTCTGAACTGTGAATTCATTGCAGTTGATTGAAAAAATCAGTTCTCTCATAGCACCATATTCTGACAGGAAATCCTAGAAAGCTTCAGAGACCCAGAATTCTGGTATGTTGAGCAAGGTATTGCTGCACCAGATTGTGACGGCTCTGCGTCCTTTAGGACGGCTTTTCACCGCCGTGATGAGAAATGGTGGCTCCCAGTGCCTCGCGTGCCTCCCGGTGGCCTTCACAACAAAACAAGGAAGCAGCTCCAGCACAAACGTGATTGTGCAAACCAAATCCTCAAGGCTGCCATGGCCATCAACAGCAATGCCTTAGCAGAGATGGAGGTCCCTGAATCTTATCTTGACTCCCTACCAAAGGTATACCATGCTTTCTTCCGTAACCAAAACTCATGAATGTGCAATGTCCACAGCATTTCTTATTGTCAGCTCTGATCATGTTGCACTAAACTTGATTTCAGAATGGAAGGGCAACCTTAGGTGATATCATATACCGCTACATAACGACTGATCAGTTCTTCCCTGAGTGCCTTCTTGATTGCCTGGACCTATCCACGGAGTACCAGGCCCTGGAAATAGCAAACCGTGTCGAAGCGTCGGTGTATGTGTGGCGCCGGAGGGTTGCTGCCAAACCAGTAAATGGCTTGGGCCGAAGCAGCAGTGCTAGATCATCGTGGGGCATGGTAAAGGACATGTTGGTAGACTCAGAGAAGAGAGAGCTGCTAGCTGAACGAGCAGAGGGCCTGCTAATATGCTTGAAGCAAAGGTTTCCTGGGTTGACACAGACAAGCCTGGACATGAGCAAAATTCAGTACAACAAGGTTTCTATCTCTATCTGTTTCTCCCAATATTCTAGCCATTACCAAATTACAGGTCAATAACTGATGCCGCTCTTGCTGGTGAGCAATTTTCAGGATGTGGGCAAATCAATCCTGGAGAGCTATTCGAGGGTGTTAGAAAGTTTGGCTTCAAACATCGTCACCCGCATCGACGATCTGCTGAACATTGATGAGCTGAACAGACACGCTGAACATTTCACAGCAACAGGTGATGCAGACTGCAAGATTGCTTTCAGCCAGACTGCTGTTCCATCCTTCCCAGTGCCAGCCTCTGGCACACCATTCATGACGGCATATACCACACCGAGCTTCTCGCCGGCGCAATTGGCAAGCCCAGCAAAGAAAGAGAGGACGTCGCTGACTCCAGGCAGACGGTCTCAGCATAGTAGGGGTGCTGGCACAAAGAAAGGCTTGATGGATCATGTCAGTACAGAAATCAAGGGGATGATAATCAGCAGCGGTATGATGATCGATGTCTCTACTACTACAGAGCTGTAACTGTAAGCTGATAGCTCATCAGATCGCCAAGATGACGTCTTTGTGTATATGTGTTTGTGTCTGTGTCTGTCTGTCTGTCTGTGTGAGCGTCCAAATTTTTACTGGCACGTTGCATTTCTGATTTGTGTGCCTACGATTTTACTGGATACTGTACTGCTGTTTGCGCCTGTTGCCCTTATGATCTGATCTACAGTACTATTAGCATAGACGGGTTTTGTTTTAGTTGTTACATACCTGTACAAGGGGCTTCAGTCTGATCTGAATTTGTTGAATTTCTACGGTTGAAATAACAAAGACTGGGGACATTTGATGTGAAAACCAACTCTTTGTTCTGAGGAGACTAGTGCAGCAGGAAGTCATTTGAGGTGGGAGCTCCACCAAATGTTGCTGAGAAAGCCCATAGCCCTGTTTGGAGCCCTTTCCCTAGATACATAACTTCTGAGTACCAAGGTCTCTCTCTCTCTGCACCCGCGCGTATGACATATATTAACATGGTTTTGTATCCAAATTTTAGACGGCCGCAGAAAATCCTCAAGCTGGAAGTTCTTTGAAGGATACTAGTGATGATAGTAAGAAAACATCTACTGTGGAGGTTGGTAAAGAACAGTTATCAGAAAGGAAAGTGACTGAAAGTTCTGGGGGCGTCCCCTGAGTGTTCAGGTATGCAAACCTCCTATATTTTGACGGTTCGAAGCTATTAAAAAATTAATTGACTTGAATATTTCAGTGTATTCTCCAGATTTAGTGAATTTTCCATTCACAGATCCACAACATTTGCAGCTACGCGCACAGATATTTGTTTATGGAGCTCTTATGAGAGTTATAATTCTCTTAAAGTTACTCATATCCCATCCCAAATATAATAAATCCATATAGCCTTATCTCGTATGCACTAGTTATAAATCCGTGACAAATTCCAATGCACATTTTCCCTTATTCTCCCATTTCTGCCCCTTCTTAATTGCACCCTGACCAGTGCAGTAAACTTGTCACCTATCTAGCAGTAAGTGATGAGCATAGTGCCATTGTACCCGTTGCCTTAATTCTTGTGCCCAAGGCGAAATTTGATGATATTTGGGATTGGTTGGAGTATTTATTTGTAAAATGTGAGATCTAATATAAGTTAATTTTCTTGTGCCATTGTACCCGTTGCCTTAAGTTTATTTGGGATTGGTTGGGCTGCGCCTCAAGCAAAGTTTGAGCCTGGGAGTCAAATTTCATTAGCTTCAATAATAAAGGGCCTGGTCTCACTGGTGGAACCCCCAGCTCTGTTGCTGCTTCAAGTTTTCAGAGCTCTGAAGTTCAGGTTTCTGAGGACCCGCAGAGAGAAGACCGTGTGACTCGGTTCTCGCGTTTTCAAGAACTCCGGCCTGCTCTGCAATCCTAAAGTCAGCCCGCTGACATGCCCGTGATGATTGTGATCCGACAAAGTTAGTCGAATCTTCGATCACAGGCTATTTACGTGGCAGGTGTTCCGAGACTCCAAAGAGAGGTGTATGGTCGTTAAGCCCTTCCTCACCATAGTGGAGAGCAGTAGGTAATGCTACTTGAACGCAGAGCTCGGCGCATGCAGCACAAAGACGACGCTAGTGCAGTGTCCACTTCGGCCGTTTCACACCATGAGCCGCGCAAAACCTCAAGCAAACCATGATGGCTTCCATCCACGCTCGAGGCCCCAGGACTGTTGGCTGATTTGTTGCCAGAGAAAAATACTGTTCGTTGACTGAAAAATACGGCTTATAAGCCAAGTGAACAAGGCGTCACTTTTAGAGTTCAGTGTAGTGCAGTGAAGGCAGCAGCAGAGCGTGAGGTGCAGTGCACTACCAGGCATCAAGAAATGGAGCTCCAGGCAAGGTGCCTCTGCGTCGTCGCGATGCTCCTGGTGGCCCGCCTCGCGGGGCTGGAGACGGCGCACGGTGCGGGGGAGTGCGGCCGCGTCCCGGTGGACCAGGTGGCGCTCAAGCTTGCCCCGTGCTCGGCGGCCACGCAGAACCCGCGCGCCGCGGTGCCGCCGAGCTGCTGCGCGCAGGTGCGCGCCATCGGGCGCAGCCACAAGTGCCTGTGCGCCGTCATGCTGTCCGACACCGCGCGCAAGGCCGGCGTCAAGCCTGCCGTGGCCATGACCATCCCCAACGCTGCGCCATCGCCAACCGCCCCGTCGGCTACAAATGCGGCCGTAAGCGCCCCCTGCGATCCCCATTGTTTTTGTTGATTGGAAGATAACAACATTGGCGTCAATATCATTTGCTTTGTTCTGCCTCTCTCACTGTCTGCTTTTTTTCACTCTGCAGCATATACCCTGCCATGAATTGATCATGAGGAGCAAAGTGATGGCTGGCAGAGTGGCAGTGGCACCTGAAGGACTTCAAACTCTGACTAGCAATATGCAATTGACAAGTATTTCTTTTTCCTGAAGTCAATAATACCTTTCACAGATCCCCAGAATAATGTTGCTGTAATAATGCCTGAACTTTGGAATAAAAGTATTTCTTTTTCCTGAAGTCAATAATACAGTAAAATGTAATTGACAAGAACAGTTTCCAAACTTCTGTCAAATTCAAGCTGGTAAAGGTGTACAATGTGAAGTCATCGCCGCTTCTCCAGCACATTATTTTTTTGCTTTGGAGCGCCGATCCACTTGTACATACATTTGACTATAAGGAGTCAGACACCAAACCGCTCATATTACTGGCGGAATGAACAGGGACACTTTTATGCAATCTAATTCATACTGTGCTACAGCTTCATTACATTGCACATCTAAAGCAGAGACTATGAAAGACACACACTATATCTGCCCAGGTGAGGTGATGCTTCTAAATACTGGCACCACCATTGGATTGGACGAAAGCGGGTCCACTATGACACGACAATACTACTAGCAGTCAAGGAAGTCGAGCTTCACTGCCTCCCCTTTCTGTTCCTGCCATTAAGAACGCAATAGAATTGTGAGGAAAACTGACAAAACTAATAACATTATATAAATAAATACTATTCATCAAAGGCTGCATAACAACAGGCAGATCATCAGTTACATATATGCTTGGGCTTGGCTCCTATCCCATTTTCAATTTCATAAAAAACCTAGATCTTTGTTATTGATTTTCTATGTTAATAAAGTAAGCATTTCTATGCTTTACAAAAGAACTGTTAATAAATTTATTTTCATGATTTGAACCTTATCAGAACAGAAGTTTGCCACCTACTCGTTCCCTAAACAAACTTCAAGCTGTTATAGATATAATATATAATCTAAAGAACAAAACGATGGCATAGAAGATGGAACAGCAGCCAAGTAATGTAGTAGATCAATAGAGATTAAAATTAAATTCTGCTTAGCTTCTTGACATGTAACTAAGTTGTGGAGATATCTAATTTACACTATTATCTAAGGTTTCCCTTACGCCCCAATTATCAGTGCGCTCAATAGTCAGGCGTGCTTTCCTTGATTGGCTTCTCACTCTAAGTGGGTTTACGTGACAACAACGCTAGCCCCTACAACCATACTGAAAACGATGTAACTAATTATCAGCCAACACAATACTGAAACATCAGTAATTAATTATTTGCCTACACCATATGAAAATGATGTAAAGGTAGATGTCAATCAAAGTTTTCACTCCAAGACAGTTAATCCCACCCCACCCACTGGCCTTTCTCCACAGGCACATCGTTGTATATCAATCTGGCAGCTAGTTTTCTGCAGAAAAATTAATTGTCTACCAAAAAATGATGACAGCTCGAGTCACACAAACAATGAAACAAATAAATAAGCTTCCTTTTTATAGGTTAATACCGCAAACACGAAAGGGAGAGATGGAAGTTAGACTAAGAGTTGAACTATGCACTAACAGATTTCATCATAGGAGTGGAATTGGTTGGGCATCCTCTTTAGGAAAAAGTTGTTTGGACACTTTATCACTTGAGATACCAATATAAACTCGGTTTCCTCACAGAGAATACCTTTGAGAAATTCACGTCATGCTAGAACTATATATTCTGACTTTTGGAAAAGGAGAGAGCATATGCTCCCTTCTATATGAAGAACTAAGATTACACGTCACGTATCATAGGCCAAGTGAGCCAACATCGGTATCTACAAACTATCAGCTGCGAGTATTAATATGGAATTTGAAAGGATTCTCTGGTACAAAAATGCGAGATGGATAGCATACGCATTGGCAGAGGATAGCAACAAACTTTGTAGCTTTAACAGTAATAAGATCCTGCTGTTTACCTTGTTCTTCAAGGAGAGGCCACCAGGTTCTCTTAGTAATAAAATGAGCCTGTGAGCCCCACAAAAAAAAAAAAAAACAGAGTTAAGAAGCTTGAACAGATAGTTATGATATCTGTTTCAATATTAACATAATGATATACCTTGCCACCAGTCGCCATGAGAATCTGTGGCTGGATCTTTCTTGTCCCCTTTGTACTGAAAACAAAACATGTTAAATTCAAAGCCTTGCTGGAGTGCAGAGTAATTCATGATGATCTAAAAAACTGTGAACTAAAAATCACAAGAAAGAGTTCTATTTCTAGGTTCAGTAATTCTTACATCAGCGGAGGATTCTGTTGCTTTCTTGGTAGTAGAGCTGCCGTAAAAATATTCTCGACCACCATAATGCACAGATGATCCAAAACACGACGTATCAACTGAATCATAAGGTGGCGAATTTTTACCATCCTTTAAGTACGCGGTACGACTTTTGGAAGGAGCCCATTGCGGTTTATCATCTGGACATCAAATCAATCTTTGTTCAGTCGAGATCCAAATATCAAACTAATCATTGTTCAGTAAATTTTCAGCTGTGTCATACCCTCAATGCTTCCCAACTATAACCAAGTAAAATGATCAACCCAGATAATAAACAGTCCAAAGTCATGCAGACCTGAGACCAGAGTTGGAGGCTAAAAGTATCTATGAGTCGACAAAACAATAAACACACTGACACTGTATCTATCATCTATTCATCTAAGCAAATGGTAACTATATCCTACGTGATTCCCAAGATTCATCTGGGAATGCAATTTAAAAAGAACTCTGGGAATGTAATTATTTTCGCGATACAAAGGCTCTTCGGTTTTATTAGCACAACAGTTTCTCCTAATAACATATAGGATAACAGAAATAAGACGAAACCGGGTAATTCCACAACTACCTGTCACGCCAGCTTGTGCGCTCCCGCTCTGCCCTTTGTAAAGAATGTTGTACAAGTCCTGATCTTTCCCATCTGCCTTGAAAACGAAAGGGAAAAAGACGAAGAAAGAATTTTACTAATATATACCAACAGCAAAGAAATGTTTTAAAAAATATATACATAACCTTTTTTAGGGAAATTAGGTATTCATATCACCATCACTCTTAAATAATCCTCTAAAATTGTGTTTAGAAAACGATACTCTACGATAACAGCACATCCTTATGAAAAAGGGGCGTATCCACATTCGAAACACGCCAAACTTAACAAAAATGGAAAAGGGAAAACTATGGTATATAACTAGGAACGCGCCTGTACGCGAAGAAACCCATCTGCATCATCGTAAATAATAAAGTTAAAGAAAAAAATTTCACGTCGAGCTCGAACCTGACAACGAGGCATAGCATCGAACAGGAGAGGGGCGTCAAGAAACGTACCGCGGGCGCCGGCGGGTAGAACAAGCTGCTCAACGGGGACTCGGCTTCAGTTGCGGCGGCGGCCCCGGCGCCGCGAGGAGAGGACTTCTTGGGCTCCATGGCGTGGGGCTGGTGCTGAGGAGAAGACTTCTTCGGCTCCATTTGGGGTCGGAAAGGGGACCTGCGAGGGATTAGGGCACGTGAAGCGGTTGCAGGCGGCGGCGGAGAGACGGGGACTCTAGGGAACACTCGGCTGCTCGCCTCGTGGCGGTCTGTGCTCCGGCCTCCATGCGTGACCCCGCATTTAAAGGCCCGGGCCAGGGACTTCGGTACGTGGTTTCGTTGATCTAGGAGGACCTGTATGGGAAAAGGTAGATATGCCCATTACTGTGTGCCCATAGAAAAATCTTTTTATTTAATGCAGGCAGCCAGGCATCCATGTCTCTTGCATCTATGAAGGTATCCTATCTTCCAACAACTAATGGGGTAGTTGGGGTAGTAAACCTACGCCTCGTTTATTTTGCAAAAAAAAGTGAACCCGATGAATAGTATCATTTTCGTCTTATTTAGTAAATATTGTCCAATCGTGGATCAACTAGGCTCAAAAGATTCATCTCGTGATTTCCAACTAAACTGTATAATTAATTATTTTTTTACCTACATTTAATACTCCATGCAAGCGGCTAAAAATTGATGTGATGGAGAGATAGTGAAAAAACTTGGAATTTGGATGGCATCTAAACAAGGTGCTAGTGATGCCCTCAAGTTTCATAGTATGTGCCAGGAAAACAAGAATTTATTTTGAAGTGTGTTTGAATATAGAGCAGGATGGGCGGTAAAAAGCCTAAAGAAATAAATGCAAAATTAACTTTAGGGGCAATGATATGGTGGTAATCAATTGATGCATGCATATGTATAAAGTATTTCCCCAACATTATATCTTGTTCTTAAATAAGTAAGAATAGTGTGTGATGCAAGGTAGTGTAAAGGCAGGGGATAGAAAGAGGTGGTGGCACCAAGATATGGCAACAATCAAGATATGCATGCATGTAATAAATATTTTCTAACATTATATCTTGTTGGTATGTTAAACTAGTGTGTGGTACAAGGCGATGTATAGGCACAAGGGTCGAAAGGGGCGGTTACACTTCAGCGACGAGCAGAGACAACAGGCGCGGACAAAAGGTTAGACGTGGGGGTGGCATATCGATTAGGCGGTGGCCTAGCAATAGAAGCAAACTAGGGAGATAATGCGGTGGCACGTCAACCAAGCATAGAAAAAACGGTTGGTCGGTTGAAGATATGGACATGACAAGGGAGAAGGGCAGTGCCACGACAATTACTTGGTGGCAAAGGCAAGCAAAGGAAAATAAGCAATTTAATGTGTCATGTCAACCACAAGCAAAGAGATTAGATCAATTAAAGGTTGATGTAAAGGAAAATGACACAATGGAAACTTGTCGTATCTACAATGGTTCGATGGCGGGGTGGCAAGGTATCATGTTCGGATGCAAGATATTGATGTGTTGTGGACTGGTGGGATGTTGGTGTTATCGAAGCACACATCCATTGGACACTAATGTCAAGATTCACAATACAACAATGGGCATAAAAATGGACAGAAAGAGAGAAATAGTAGTGGCTTGTACTATCAAGGAACAACATCCTTATGAGCATTGTAAGTTGAAGTGGGCAAAGGGGGAAACATTCTGCCAATGAATTGAGACAACAGAGGCAAACACATGTTAAAAAGCAACGATACATCCTAAGGTCGAAGAGACTAGAGGCATAAGCGAACAAAGAAAGGAAGAAGTGACACGTCAACCATGAGTAAAAAGAGGATCATCGATAGTAGTTGATTTGCATGCAAGGTAGCAGCCACCGACTAGTAAGCATAGGTGGCAGGAGAAAGAGACAATTTGATATTGATAACAAGGACATAGTGGCGAGGGTCAAGCGGTGGGATGACCAAGTGTTATGTGGGGACAGTGAGTCGTCGGTGACGGGTTAAGCGGTCAGTTGTGCAGATACATGTAGAAATACTAGGTCAGACAATAAAGACATGGGAGATGATGCAAAAGAGAGGACGTAGAAATAGTAGGTCAGACAATAAAGACATGGGCGATGATGCAAAAGAGAGGTTCAACTGTAGCAATATTTGTATATCTATAAGTGCGCATATCATGGTAAGATATGATCTTATGGCTTCCAGCTAGATTAACAATTTTGTTATAATTTAAAACAACAAGGACCTGATACAATTACGTCTTATCATAGTAAAAGTAAAGAGAAAAAATTAGCATTGGTGGCCACTTTTTTCTTGACAAAAGAAGCTAGCCACTTTAATTGACACTTAGTTTCCATTACCAATCTTATAAAAATGGAATTTTTTGCTACACGCAATCATTAAGTGGTGTTTGGCCCCTGTGCCCTCCTCCGCCGCCTCTAGTTGACGCTCATGAAAACAGAGGCATCTGCCATGTGCATTTAGTGTTGTACTTAGGAACTCCTGGAAAAACTTTCATTAGCTATAATTTTAAATAAACACACTTGTGGACAAATAGTCACGCGACAATTTGCATGACTCCTAGTGACAACCCAACCAGTACAAGGGTGCTTGCAAATTTGGAAGGGGCACCTCAAGTATTAACTTGACAATGTCAATTCTTGATTTTTATTGATTTCCAAGCACAAGTTAGTAATACTAGCACATCAACTATGCTCTAATATGTAGTTTTAGTTGTAAGGATCATGCGCCCATGTGCATGATCATATGTACTTTTGGTGATTTTGATGATGACAAAATCACTAGGACTAACATGTGAGTTAATTTTTTTTCATAGGTTTTCTAAGATTATAGGGGAGAAAGAAATGAAAAAAATAAAGGAAGACTTTGAAGCTTGGCAAACAAAAGTGTTGAATTGCACTTTTTCCATGATTTTATAGTTGTTAAAATTGGTTTAGTATCATGTTCAAGCCATAGATATTTTCATAAGTTTTGTAATAAGTCCAAGATCATCATCGAAGTTTAGAGCAAAAAGAAACGACTAAAATACCGAAGCATCAACACGTGCACAACTTACTGATGTTCATCAGATGATTCACTTGGTTTCTAGACTTATTCAATACATTATTTTTGCATAGCATTATAGAAAATTACAAAATGGACTTCGGAGCTAGGAGATATGGCCAAATTACCAAGAAGTTAGTGGGCTGAATATAGGATGATCCCATGGAGAATCATCTAAAAGTGAGCTATGAGATATGAACAATTATCAAGAAGACAACATGTTAAAATACTACCATCGCATGATCTAGTGCTCACTAATTTTAGACTGATGGATCATCCAACGATGACTAGTAAAGATGCACATAATTCACAAAGTACTATCATATGATCCGATTCTCCTATTCCGTGCTACGACAGATCATTCAGTGATGCACATAAAAGTTGATTCTTATTTCCAATAGCTAGTTGGGGTGTATGTGCTATATATAGGCTCCCAATCACTTGTCTGATGTTTTTGGAGTGCTCTAAAGCTACTAGAAGTTATAGCAATTGATCATACACTTCATGCACATGACCACATATCATGTGCATATTGATCACATCCTCCAAAGCATAGGATAGATCCCATTGTTCATCTTTGTGAGGGTTAGACCTTAGAGCTTGAGTGTTGGGTTATTGTGCCCTTGTAATCTTGGTGAGTAGATCACTTGAGATCTTATTGGCCTTCTGGTGGACATCGGTCCTCCAACATTTGTGTCGATATATGATATGTGTCTTGGTGTGTGGGAGATAAGGAGACTACTTCTCTTGGTGGAGAAGCTCCGTTGTAGATGATGCCTTGGTGATCGAGATAGTCCAGTGACAAGTGGTGAGCCTTAGTGTCTTAGGACACTTCTCTTGTTTGACAATGGACTTTCTAGCTTGCACAACATCATGATCTGGCTAAGGCTTGGTGATCACAAGCATATCCTTTGTGGGGCTCCAACATGGACTAGCATTCGTGTTTTGGCAACTGATGTGACAAAATAATTTTTTACCTCTGGGAATTTACCATCTATTGACTTGGTCTTTGCCATATGTATTTATGTTTTGCATTGTGCTTGACTTGTGTGGCCTTCGGATTTTCATATTAGCATGGGCTAATTGGTAGAATTGGCTCTAGGTTGCATAACTCTTTGTGGGTTGTATAAGGTATAGCATATTATATTAGAAAAACTTAATATGCATATCTTACTAGTTAGTTTATGGTTTTTTCTAGTGTAGAACAATAATTTCCCTAGGAGTAAGTTTTTATAGACCCGATTCATCCCCTCTTGGGGTTTAGGACTTACATGCTCCTTACATTAGGGTGTACAATTAATCAAATTTGATTATCTTTATTCCTCCTCTCTATTTATTTTCTAACACAATAGACAATTAGATAGTCTATAATCTCTATCCGGCTATGATAAATTTACCAATATAGTTTTCTAGTATGTATTAGGTTGAAACATAAGTTTAAGTTATATCAGCTCTTGTTGCATGACATCATGAATCTATATCCTGGCTTTCGTCTTTCGATCTTATTAGATGTGCAAAGGTATTAATTTCAAACTTTAATGCTTATTATACCTTTATTCAAATATTTTTTATGTTACTAGAACAATATATTCTAGATCCTAACCTTACACTCTTAGTAACTACAACGTCATAAACAGTCATTTTAGACTACACCACGACACTCAAGATGTTGAATCTATTAGCTACATCGAATAATTATATATGTGGTAGTGTTGTTTTATAAACATGCAATGCTTAAATAACAAGTATACATGTGTTATAATGTCTCAATAAAAATATAGAAACTAATCTAAAGTAACAACTTATAATTTTATTTCCAAGAAGTATTAATATAATTTATGGTGAATTGTTCGTGTCATGGCAAGGGATTTTTTGTAATTAAGTTTTGTAGACTTTTTGGTTCTGCACAATGTATAATTTTCGCCTGACTAGATCGTGGATCCCCATAATCTCCAATATCCGGCACTTAATTCTACTTTGCAGCGTATGTAGGTTCTTGTCTTCAATGTTGTTCTATGTTTTTTAATTTATTGGATTTGGGATTCAAAAAGTAAATACAAATTTTATTATCAATTAAATTAAGGTTGTATTG